CCTAAAGTCCACCATGTAGGGCACGTCCACAGCCCTGCTCCCCTGCTTGGCTACGGGTTCGCCCTGCCCCCGGGCCGCCGTGAGGCCAGCGTGCCCTGCGCTCTCCGCCCGCCTCTGACCCTGCAAGCCCTCTACCTTGGGGCTGAGAGTGCAGTGACGGACTCCGCAGCTGCTGAGATCAGGGACGGACTCCGCAGCTGCTCAAGCTCAGTATCTGTGATTGGCCCTGTGCACTGTCAGCTTCCTGGCGGGCTCAGGCACGTGGAGCTGCGAACATTAGAGACTTCGCCACAAACGGGCTCCGGCACGTGGAGCTCATCATTAGAGACTTCGCCACAAACAGCCACAAAGGCAAGAGAATTCTTGTTGGGCAGTGTATTAGTGCAGTGTATTACTTGGGCAGTGTATTAAACCTCTGGCACTGCGCTCACATGATCCCTTCCCCTTCTGGTCAATTTAAAAAAATGGCGACTGTAAATAAGAGAAGGAAAGTTGACAGTGAGGGCCGCCGCTTCCAGGACAGGTGGAAAGTGGAATATTTCTTCACTGAAATAGAGAATCACTGTGTTTGTCTGATATGCCAAGAGACTGTGGCTGTTTATAAGGAATTTAATGTCAAGAGACACTACCAGTCGAGACATAGCACATACGACAAGCTTACAGGGCACGACCGCAGTGAAAAGTTGAAGCAACTTGAAGCTGTTTTAATGTCACAACAGAAATTTTTCATAAGAGCCCGTGAGTCAAATGAAAATGCCACAAGGGCGAGCTATGAGGTGGCAACGTTAATTGCTAAAAATTGCAAATCTTTTGCTGAGGGTGACTTTATCAAAGAATGCGTTATGAAAATGGTTGAGAATATCTGTCCCGAGAAGAAGCAAGAGTTTGCCAACATTTGCCTGGCTCGTAACACTGTAGCACGGAGAATTGAAGAGATTTCATCAGATATTAAGAGACAGTTGACATCCAAAGGAGTGGATTTTGACTTCTTTTCAATAGCCTGTGATGAAAGCACGGACCTATCTGACACAGCTCAGTTGCTGATTTTTATGAGAGGGGTGGACGATGAAATGAATGTGACTGAAGAGCTACTTGACCTCCAGAGCCTTACGGACCAAACAAGAGGAAAAGATTTATTTGTTTCTGTTAGTTCCGCCATAGATGACATGAAACTGCCTTGGAACAAAGTTACTGGGATTATTACTGATGGGGCACCTGCCATGGTTGGTGAACGAAGTGGATTATCAACCCTAATCTGTAACAAGGTGATCGAAGAAGGAGGCAAAGCTATTAAACTCCATTGTATCATTCATCAACAAGTTCTCTGTGCTAAACATCTCAAATATGATCATGTTATGAAACCGGTGCTAAAGACTATTAATTTTATTCGCTCTAAAGCCCTGTGCCACCGCCAGTTTAAACAGTTTCTACTGGACATCCAGGCTGAATACGAAGATGTTTTATATCACAACGATGTAAGATGGCTCAGTCGGGGGTCTGCACTGCAGCGTTTCTACTCTCTCAGAAAGGAAATCGGAGAATTCTTGGAAACAAAGGGACAACCAATGCGAGAACTATCTGATCCTATTTGGCTGGCTGATTTGGGGTTTCTAGTTGACATAACAAAGCATCTGAATGTACTGAACACGAGTCTTCAGGGGAAAGATGCAGCGGTGAACCAGCTTTATTCACACCTCAAAGCCTTTGGGACAAAGCTGCAACTTTTCATAAGGCAGTTGTCACAAACACAGCCCAATACCATACATTTTTCAGCGTTGCAGGAAATAATGAACAGTTTTCCACAGGACAATATCAGTGCGCAAACGAGCAGGTATGCAGCAGACATTGCATCTCTGGCTGGGGAGTTTAAACGGCGCTTTCAGGACTTTGCAGCTATTGAAAAGGAGATCAGCCTTTTCTCCTCTCCATTCTCTGTTGACCCCGATGATGCTCCAGATCAGCTGCAGCTCGAGCTCATTGAGCTGCATTGTGACAGCGAGTTACGCAGTCGTCACCAACAGCTCTCTCTTGTGAACTTTTACCGCCAACTGGATAAGAGCCGGTTTCAAGAGATTCGAACATTGGCTAAGAAAATGCTGAGCTTGTTTGGCTCAACATATATGTGTGAGAAGACATTCTCTGCTATGAACTTTAACAAGAACCGCGTGAGGACAAGACTAAGTGACTCTCACCTGCGTGACATTTTGCGCATCAAAACCACTGCCTTTGAACCAGACCTAGCCTATGTACTGCAGTCCAGATCTCAGTTTCACCCTTCACATTAGTTTAGGCAAGTTTTTTTTTCAATTGAGATGACTACATTGTAAAATCTCAGTTAATGTCAGTTGGTCTAAATCAGTTATAAATATATTTGGACACAACATGTATAGTTGGTGTTATGTCGTTTGCCGTTTGCAATAAACTTTGCATAAAATAGTTAATTTGCATTTAATTTTAATGGTTCAAAGAATGTCAGGCAAAATGGTCGGCCCTCACGCATGTTCACTTCATCAAATCTGGCCCTCTTTGAAAAAAGTTTGGACACCCCTGCAGTAGAGGCAGCTTGTTACATTGCTTACCCTTCTGCTTGAAAATTTTTCTGGTTACGAAATAATTTATACTTTCATGATACTTTTAGATACAGAAACACTTAACTTCTCAACTCCTTCCTTAACTATTGGACTATTTGAACTGTTATGCTTATTTACATTGGCAAGAGAACAGACTTGAAATCAGCCTGAAGTATGCAGAGCTCTGTGCACTCTGTGCATTTTCACCCACCTTCCAACACTGTCCTTTTTGGTTCAACGCCTACCTGCAGGAAATCTTGGTATTGTGACCTTTCTGCCAGATGGAACCAGCAGCAGCCAAGTGCAGGTTCTCTATGTAGGGGTTCCAACACAGACCTGGCTCGAGCCCCCCACCCCAGTAACTTAGGGAATTCACATACTGCCCCTGAGCACCTCTGAGAGGCAATGCTTTCCCACTTGTAAGCACAGAGTGTAGAAGAGAAACTTGTAATAAAAGGGAGGGAAGTAACTTGGCATTCATTTGGGCAAGCACCACAAACAGGGTTTACCCCAAGTAGGTTGGGCAGTGTCCTTTTCCTTTGCTGTTCTCAAGTCCAGCAATGTCAATGTCCCCTTCACATGCCCAACTCTTCTCTGCATCTCACTCACAGTTGCTGCCCTTGGTTAGTGCAGACCCAGAGTTCAGAGGTACATCTGCAGAGTTCACCTCCCATTCTGGATGAGGGGAGGTAAAGATGCATCTTACTCACTTCGCTGGTCACTTGCTATCCGCTAGCTCACTGCTCTCCACTGCCTCCCTGCTAGCCTCTCATTGCACCTCTCTAGCTGCCCTACTGCTGTTGGTCACCATCCGCTTTAGCTACCTGCTACCATCCATCTCTTGGCTGTGATTTCTGCCCATCTGTCTCAAGGGATTTCAACTCCCAGGGATTTCAGCTCTTAGCAAGCAGAATAGAAGAAACACAACTCCAACACAATTAACATAGGAAAGAGGCTCTTAATGATGCCTATTTAGCTCTGTTCTTTGAACAGTATGGGGAAAAGGTCAAACCAGTTCAGGCAAGGGAGAGTATGTAGCCTCCTGATCAGAATAACCTTCCCTCATCCCCTCTTGCTCTGACAGAGCTCTGAGGCTACATCTAGACTACATGGCTCCGTCGACCGAGCCATGTAAAATAGTTTATTCGGCATAGTCAAAGAAGTGGGGATTTAAATAATCACCACTTCATTAAAATAAAAATGGCTGCTGCTCTGTGCCGATGATCAGCTGATCCAGCACAGCGCGGCAGTCTAGACACGGCGCGGTCAACAAAGGGAGCCTTTGTTGACAACTCCGGTATGCTTCCTTTTTCAACTGCGATGCATCTAGACTGCCGCGCTGTGCCGGATCAGCTGATCATCGTCACAGAGCGGTGGCCATTTTTATTTTAATGAAGTGGGGATTATTTAAATCCCCGCTTCTTTGACTATGCCGAATAAACTATTTTACTTGGCTCCGTCGATGGAGCTATGTAGTCTAGACGTAGCCTGAGAGTCGAGCCACTGCTCAGCAAGGTTCCTTCTGTTCACCTTTCCTTTGGAACAGTTTAGCACAGTCCTTCCTGCTTTTGTGTATTTCCACAAAATTACAAACATTGGTAACCATATTTCCTCTATGGCTGCATTGAATACAAACGGAGCTGGTGTTGGGTCACATGTTAAGTTGATTCCAATGAGCAAAATACACTCCATCTACTGAATATGTAACTAATCTAAGCAAAGCAGGAACAAACTATATTTACATAGACACAGCATCTCTCCCTGCTTCCAGCCAGCTGTAAGGGAAGCATTCCTTCATATCCTGTATGAATCTGCAAGAGACGAAAGATGGACTTCAACACTGTGAAAGCTGGTCTGAGTGTCTATAGATTTGATCTTTTCCATAAGCGATCTTCATAATCAATAAGGAAGTTATCCACATTGTTGAAAGCTCTCTGAAGCAATCCATTCATATTGATTACTTAGAACACTAGATACCCAGGCTGGACTTTCCCTTTCTTCCCATGCCCTGTTTGTTTAAACTATTGATCATAGCACTGATAAATATTTCTTTTGGTTTGACAGCCGAAGTTTCATATGGTCCTCGTTGGGCGTGACAGCCATTAGCTTTGTGACTGGAGCCCTGGGACTTTGGATGCCATTGTTCCTTTACAGGGCTCAGCTAGTCCATGACCTTGTACCCCCATGCCTTCAGGAGCCATGCAGTTCTTCCAACAGGTGAGGTGCACTTCATTTTGAAAAGATCAGCTAGGACATAGGAAATGCCTGTATGAACACTCTAGATTTTTCAGTGCTACTGACTATCATGTCTCTTCCTAAAGACAAAGGGTGGGATGTGGCTGTGAACACTTATTGAGAAGGCAGATGAGGCATCAGTGCTGATGTATTGCTCCATTTTACCGATGACAAGCTGAGTCAGATAGCTGACTTGCCCAAGGTCACCCAAGGTAGTATGTAATGGAGCCCGGAACTGATGCCGCTGTGCCTTCCTTACAATGGGGATAAAATTCCTCTGTGTAAATTGCTTTATTATGAACTGTGCATATTATGGCTAACGGTACACTTTTTACAAAAGAATCTGCTGAATTAGGGTGCCCTAAAGGATTTCGCCTCATCCCAAATGAGACGGTAACCCAATTAAGAGAAGATGCTGCCTTGCTCCTGAAATGCCTCTCAGATTCCTTGACTTGTCTCGTGTACCATTTGTGAGCTGAATAAAGGCTTTAAATTGGCCACGAGTGAAAGGCCCTGATGATGATTTCTCCCAGATGGAGTTGACTCGTAGTGGAGTAAGGGAAATCCAGGGCCACATGCTAACTCTGTTGAACAGTGCCTAGAAGGTGGTACTACGTCAGCTTGGCGTTAGCTCCCTCCTTACAAAGAAGTATCAGCTCTTGGTCTGCAGAGCATCACTACTTGGATGCCACTGAATCCCTGATGGGTGTCCTAAACAAGCAGCTTCCCTTGCAAGAAATAGAAGTCTAAAGGCCAGGCTTACACACACACATACCATACAGGTGTTCCCTCAAGGACTTTCACAGATTTTACTACACTGAATTAGTTAAATCTATGCAAATTCTGTGTGTGTACAAGTCCTTAATTTGGCTTCTTGGGGAGCATCTCAAATAAACGTATTCTCTTAAAGGGCTTTCTAATAGCATCACATCTATATAGGTATTAGAATACATGGGTTGGAGGGGAGCAGTAATTTAAACATCCTGGTAATGAAAAATTGCTGACTGGAGAAGGGTTTAAGCATGAGGTTCAGATTCAGTGTTTAAGGGAGTTTACTTCTACCTTTGGTGGACAGGGAAAACAACTGATCATTGTCCTCTTATCTGTTATCAGGTTCCCTCCTCAATCTTCTTTTCTCAGGACTAAATATGCCCAGATTTTTTAAAACCTTCCCCCATAGGTCAGATTTTCTAAAGCTTTTATAATTTTATAAAAAATGTGGACATCCTGCTCTTTTGGCATTCCAATCAACTGCCAAAGTGGCAGAGTCAGTGTGATGCCAGTGTGAATCAGGCTTGATTCATCTGGCACAGAACCATAATCTTTTACAACAAAATAAGGTAATTCCCACCAATCAATAATTTTTCTGCAGGCAGAGCTCTTCTGAGCAGGAATTTTCTATTACAGATCTTGAAATTCAGATAAAATATCAGGTACCTTCACAAAACAATGCGCGGGGTTAGAAGGAAGAGGGATTTGTTGCTTTGTGTCCCAGCCGGGTGGCAGGAAAGCGAGGCTGTAAATTTTCATCTGACATTCCATTGGATTTGATGTTGTCAGAACACTTTCCTCTTTCAGGGTGGAGGAAGACAATCCTCCTGGACTTTCTGCACTTAGGGTGCGTCTAGACTATAGTCATCTTTCGAAAGAGGAATGTAAATGAAGGAAATCGAAAATGCACATGAAGCGCAGATTTCAAATCTCGCACTTCATTTGCACAATCGCGTCTGATCACTTTTTCGAAAAAGGTTTTTTCGGAAGAAAAAAAAAGTCTAGACGTTCTTTTGAAAAAAAAACCCACAATTCATTCTTTTTTTTTTTTGAAGGAACTCTTATTCCTGAAAAAATGAGGTTTACGGGTTCTTTCAAAAAAAATTTTTTTTTTGAAAGAAGCGCGTCGAGACTGCTTTTTTCCCCCCGAAAAAACCTTTTTTGAAAAAGTGATTGAACGTGATTATGCAAATGAAGTGTGATATTTGTAAATCTGTGCTTCATTTGCATTTTCAATTTCCTTCTTTTACATTCCTTAGCCTTAGGGCCGGCTCGAGCCATTCCTGCGCCCCGGGCAGCGGGAGCGCAACGCATGCGTGGCTCCACCCCCCGGCGCGCTGCGCACCTTACAGCTGCAATCGGGCGTGTGGCGCCCTTACAGCTGCCATCAGGCGCCCCCCATAGGTTGGTGCCCCGGGCAGTGGCCCAGCTAGCCCGGCTTGCCCCCTCCTTAATCCAGCCCTGCGTAGCCTTTCAGGATATTTCAAGGGCTGAGTGATATGCCATGCTTTTCATCCATGTAGAGGGGTTAGAATAAAGTAAAGAAAATCAGTAGACCCCTGATCAAGTCCTGGTGCCTGTGAGATGCAAGAAACTTCAAGGAAGCAGGCCAGAAGGCTCAGAATTCATTGTTTGAGGTATCCCGGACGGTAACAATCAGAATTTCAGTGCACAGGTTTTTTGCATTGGCCAGCACAGGTTTAGGCAGTGAAACTGGCAGGACCTGTCCAAATTACATATTAATAGAGATTCACAGACATCAGAGACCTTCAATGAGAGACCTTTGGGTTACTTTACCTGCAAGTAACTGGAGGAGAAGCATATTTGCCCTTGTGCAGATCTTAGAATTAGAGCTGGGAGAAATCTTTCAGCGGAAACCTGGTCTGGTGGAAAAATGCATATTTGGCAGCACCAAAACATTTTTTTCTGTATTCTTGTTGGTTTGCTGAATTGGTTCCATTGGGGGATGGAGGGAAGCAAATACCATTCTAGAAATCAAAGTCTACATGACTTTTTTAAAAACTGTATTTTTAATTGTGTTTCACAATTGCAATTTTATTTAAAAAGCAAAAATCTTAAAATAGTTGAAATGTAAAAATGTTTTGGTTGTAAAATTAAAATTATTATTTTTGGGGACTGCTAGTGAACTGGAAAATTACTTACTCACACAGCTGTAGTTGAAAGTTTCATATTATTTAGAGATCGTTGCTGCAGAAATGAGTGTTCTTCCCCACGTGGCAGAGTCTGACTTAGGCAGGAGAGGGAAGGAAGGAAGCTAAACTTCCCCTTGTATTTTGAGTACCTTTTTCCAAACTGAGGGTGTGGATGCATGGTTTTATTGTTTTGCTTACTGTGACTGTGTCAGGCCAAAGGGCTACAGGAGATCAGTCCTACTGGAGACAGAGAGGTTTCACTGCAGACTCTGCAGCTGGCTCACACAGAGTCAGTGGGTAACCTGCGGTAGGGGAGGCTGGAAGGGGCCTACCACGGACAGGGGCGACTCCAGCTGGCCAACAGGAGCAACCCCTGTCTGCGGCGGAGTACACTCATGGCTTCTTGCACGAGAAATATGCAAATGAGGCTAAACATGGACTATCGCCAAGCATCATTTGCATACCTAATGGGCCACCATTTTTGCAAAAGTGGCTCTTGCACCAGAAGGAGCTGTCTACACTGCCTCTTGCACAAGAAAAACCCTCTTGCGCAATGCCATTATTCCTGAAAATAATCAGTGTAGCGACATTGCACAAGAGGGTTTTTCTTGCCCAAGAAGGGGCAGTGTAGACAGCTCCTTCTGGTGCAAGAGCCACTTTTGCAAAAATGGTGGCCCATTAGGTATGCAAATGATGCTTGGCGATAGTCCATGTTTAGCCTCATTTGCATATTTCTCGTGCAAGAAGCCATGAGTGTAGACATAGCCTCACGGCGGGGGGGGAGCTGCTCCAGCCCCTACCCATTAACTGGAACTAGTAAGCCTCACCCACTGAGGATGAGGCTTAGTGGTTAGCTCATTAATCATTTACATCCCTAGTGATAAGGCACACATGAACGCTGCCCATTAGAGTTAGCTGTCAATCATTGCTTCTCCTTTTTAGTGTAGAATTAGTAACTAATTTCCTCCTAATCATCCAGGAGAAATGGTAAGAGCCAGTGTGCTGCAGTTTGGCATCACAAACAAATTCAGATCTCCCAGCCTTAGAGCTAGGGAGCACCAAGAAAGGGCACAACTTCTTAAGGGCATGTCTACTCTACAATTAGACCCCCATAGCTGGCCTGTGCCAGCTGACTCAGGCTCGGGCTGCTGAATTGTGGTGTGGTTGTTTGAGCTTGGGTTGCAGCCCAGCCTCTCAGCATCCTAGAGTCCAGGCCCCAGAATGATCCTGAACATCTACACCACAATTAAACAGCTCCATGAGCCCGAGGCAGCTGGCATAAGCCAGCCAGGGGTGTCTCATTGCAGAATAGATATAGCCTCTTCTGTTAGGAACGCTGCATTTCTGTCTCTACTTCATTCATGAGGGCTATGATAGATTAAACACTCAGGGACACCAGAATCTTCTTTATCATAGGAAGTTTATTTTCATCATCAGACTCTCATCTGGGACAGTCAAGTCAAGTCTTGTGAGCAATTAGGCAAGAAGGCCAATGGGCTGTTCCTCAGAGGAGCACTTCAGCTTTCCTGGGCACATGAAAGGAAACTGAGTGACATTTGAAATTCTACATGGTGAAGTTCCAGCTGGATAACTCTTCAGTCTGCCCCAGGCTGTCATGTAACTAGGCTTGGTGTATCCAGCGATGAGAGAAATGTCCCATGCGAGCCAGATTAATTTGATGGTTATGATGAGTTCTAGCAGAAGCTACCCCATCTGCACTGCGGGTGGGGAGTAGCTCAGTTCATAGGTATGGCCAAGACAGCTAGAAATGCCTCTGAATCTGTGGCTCTCTAAGGCAATTCCTATTAACAGAACACCCAGGGGGTCGTTAATCTCCCTTCCTCTGAAACAGGTGATAATACCTGCTCTATGCATGGGCACATCACTGCTTTGGTGGACAGGACATCAATAGCAGAGGAGCAAGGTCCAATTTATCAGATGCTGAGGCATGTCTTTAGTCTTGAAAGACTTGGATAAAATGGAGCCCAGATTTGATTTCTCCATTGAAATCTTTCTAGGCTTTGTGCAGTAAACACCTTGAAAAGGGTGGGGAGAGAAAAGAAGCTTGTAACGTTTCTCAGAGACATACAAGAGAAGTGGAGGTCACAGATGAATGATAGGCACTTGGACAGATTCTTTTCTCTTAATGTGCTTTCGTTTCCCTACTCATCACATCCTTTTGCTTTACTGCCAGCCTAATATTTGGAGCAATTACCATCGTGACAGGAGTTGTTGGTGTCATCACCGGGGGAGTAATTGCAAAGAGATATAAGAAGATAAACCCTAAGGCTGACCCTCTGATCTGTGCTGTAGGCATGCTGTCCTTCGCCCCATGTCTCTATCTGTCTATCATGCTGGCCTCACAAAGCATCCATGCTGCTTATGTAAGTATCGATAAAGTGTGTAGCTCTGACAAATGGTTTTGTAAGATAGCACGGATGGGTTTCAGGGTGCAGGTCTCAGAATGGTCTAGTTGAAGGAATTTAATTAACAGCTTGCAATGACTCATGTTATGCCACAATGTAGCCCACAGGCCAAGTGCTGCGCAGGGGGCTATAACTCCATTGGTGGTTGTAGTCTTGACTTCAGAGTGCAGCCTAGGGAATACATCCCATTGTGCAGAGTTCCCCTTTAATCTGAACAGTCAGAACATGTATGGAAAAGGGGATGTTGCAGATTGGGACTTGTAACCTCCATGCACTGCATCTTTGTACTGAAGAGAATGGTAAGTTTAGTCAACCTACGATGCCTTCTTGCTAAAAGTCTACAATGCATCTTTAGCTGTGCATGGTTTGATTGCCTCTGGTTCCATAGGTATTTTTAGGCACAAAGTCCTAAACTTGGTGTTTAATTAAATCAACCTGTCATGTATAGTACTATTTCTCTTCTCTCCTAGAATGCTTAAAATTACAATGCGCATGGCACTGTGCAATAAACAGAGTTCCTGTTAAAGAATTTAGTCAGTAAGTTGGGTGCCCAAAATCACTAGTTGCTTTTCTTAGACCCGTGTAGATGTGTAAATAGCTTAAATCCTTCTGTCAGCGAAGAGGAATGCTGAAACCTAGCATGTATAGTACTATTTCTCTTCTCTCCTAGAATGCTTAAAATTACAATGCGCATGGCACTGTGCAATAAACAGAGTTCCTGTTAAAGAATTTAGTCAGTAAGTTGGGTGCCCAAAATCACTAGTTGCTTTTCTTAGACCCGTGTAGATGTGTAAATAGCTTAAATCCTTCTGTCAGCGAAGAGGAATGCTGAAACCTAGCAAGAGAGATCAGTAGCAGAAGGAATTCCCTAAGAAGATGAAATG